GGCCCAGCGCGGATCCACGAGATCCGCGCGGAGCGCCAACAGTCTATGTTTGTGGCGTTTTCTTTTTTTCTACTCCCTCCCTCCCTTCCCCCTCCCCACCCCCCCTCCCTCCCTCTTCCTCCCTCCGGCCCGCCGCGAGGAAGTGGCACTCGGGAGCGCGCGAAGCGCGGCACCGCTGGGGGCACCCCCTGGGCCGGCGTGCGCTGCGACTGCGGCGGGGCGGGGCGCGCCGCCGGACCCTTCGCTGCGGGGTCTCTCGGGCTGGCCTGGCCGCCCAGCGCCGGGCGGGCGGAGCGAGCACCTCTTGAGGAAGGGTAGAAGGGGATATGGGGGGGAGGAGGGAGGGGCGAGGGGGAGGAATGGGGGAGGGAGAGAAGGGGGAAGGGAGGAAAGAGAGAGCGGAGGGAGGGAGCAGGGGCAGGGAGGGGGAGGAAGGCGGAGGAGGGAGCAGGAGGAGACAGGGGGGGGCGGGTCGGCGTGGGACGGCATCGGCTCTTCACGCTTCTCGCTCGAGCAGGAGGGCGCAGAGCTCGGCGTAGCCGAGCAGCTGCCGGCTGCTTCCTTGCATTCTGGTCACTTGTAGCTCCCCAGCAACGGGGCAGCCCGTGGCTCGAGCAGCTGCTGGCTGCTCAGCCACGGGCTTCCAGTTTCGTGGCCTTGCTTGCCGGCCCTCTCTCCGCTTTTTGTGCTGCCGGTGGTGCTCTCTCCTTTCTTTCTAGCCCTGCCTTACTCTTGCGAGCTGGCTCATGCCTGCTCGATTCGGACTCCACGGTGTCCTCCCCCTCCGCCTGCTCCTTCTGCTTCTCGTTCTCTTCATCCTGCGCCTCTTTCCGTCGTCGTTGGCGCCGGCGTTGGTGTCGGCGTCTTCGTCCTCCCCGTCCTCCTTTTCCCTCTTCCCATTCCCCCCTTCTTGGTATATGCTCTTCTACTCATTCTCTTGCTCCTCCTGGCCCCATGTCCTCTCCGTGCCCGGCCGGCCCCCGTCCGCCCGTCCCACTTCCCGTCGCCCTCTCCGTCCCTGTCGCCATCCTTCTTTCTCCCTTTTCCTCCCCCTTCTTTGTTTTCTCGGAGGTCAGAAGAGGACGTCACATGCCCGACGCTTCGCTTATGCCCACCATCATCGGAAGGACTTCCTGGCGTGCGCCCTCCTGTGAGCGGCAGCGAGGCTCGCCTCCTGTTTGCCTCCCTCCCCGGTTGGTCTTGTCTCTCTTTTCGCCCCTCTTTCTTGTGCGCGAATCTAGGCCGTTGCCCGAGTGCATCGTTCCCGGGACCCGCCCGACCTTTTCGCCGCGGTCGCGATCAAAAAGTATGCCCACCATCCCATCCAACAAACATGCCCAGGCGTATTGAATGTGTGAGCGTGCAGTGGCGCAAAGATGGGAGACGCCGCCAGACCGGTGTTCTGGATCAGCCTGCGCAGACGCAGGAGTGATTCGTGCATGTTTTCGTGGCTCTGTCAAATGAGGGGCCAGGAGGAGGCGTAGAGGGATGAAGGGGTGGAGGAGGCGGGAGGAGGAAGAGGGCCAGAGTAAACCCAAGATCGTCAATGATGCTGCAATTCGCTCTCCCGTCCCAAGCACCCTCGTCACATGTCCCTGCATTCTGTCCGTTCTGCAGCAGGGAGCGCCCCCATGAAGGACCAGCGCCCTGGCTCCTTGGGCGTTCCATTGAAACGAGACCGCCACTTCGAAAGGAACAGCCTTGCATCGTTCTAGCGAAAAGTAATGAACACGAGAAAGTTTCATCATACAGTGCAGCGGGGTGTCCAGCAATATCCCCATTTTGAACAAGGACCGCCTGCAATTGGCGTAACAAATACACATTCTGGCCATGAAGTTCGCGGAGCTTATCAGCGGACCCGTTTTGGAAAAGAGAGCAACTTTCATCCGAGTGGCTGTTTGAACTGAAGACGTCCTCCGTGCTGGTAACTGTTCCAGCAATTCTAGAGGAATGTGCGCGGCCCTATTGTTAATTCGGGCATGTCCGTCTACAGGAGGAGTGCCCAAAAATGGTGAAACATAGTATGGTGACGATTTTCCGTGTTTTTGTTACGAGTATTTTGGGCATATATATATATATATATATACATAGATATGTGTATAACAAGCAATTTCTCATGCTTTCCCAAATCCGACTGTAGGAGGACATGCCCGACCTAACGCTAGGGCGAGAGTCTTTTTTTGAAAGGGACCTGCTCTCCATTCTCTATCGCGGCTGCAATCCTTTAGTAAAGCGAGTGTACGCTGCGCCGCGGCAAGAGCTCCCTTTTACCAGCGACCCCCTTCCCTCCTGGTAGCTGTTGCAGGTTCTCAAAGCGAATGTGCGCTTCGCTGCGGCTGGAACTGCATTTTGAAAGCGACCCCCGCCATCTCTTTGTAATTGTTGTCAGCTTTGAGATGACTTGGCTTGGCACTAAGGCAAGAGCTCCATTGTGAGAAACACCCGCCACCCATGTAAGTGTTGCGTTTTGTATCCTTTTTAGGTGTTTGTTGTTGCTCCAGTTGCCGCGCTCTTCTGATCTCACTCCTGCGTGTTCCTGCGCAGTGTGGGTCTTTCAACATTTTCGTTTGCAATAAGCGGTCCTGTGTGTAGTCGCCCCGTGTTTACAAAGGGTTGGGTACTTAGATGGGAAGTATTGACGCATGGTGGGGCGGATGTGGGCATGACCCCTGGATTGCCGCCAGTCGGGTGGGGGAGGGCTGCTGTTGATTCAGTAGCGAACAGAGATGAGCCCGCCCCCGAAGGGGAAGAGGGGAATTGCAAGACGAAACGCTCTGAACCACTTCCGCCCAGAGGGCTGATGTGATATTTGGGGATATTTAGTGGAACGAAGAATGACATAAACATAAAACCTCGGAGGTCCGCGCGGATTTCTCGGATCGGCGCTGGGCCCCCCGTCCCTGGCGCGCGGAGCGCGCCAGGGGCGGCGCCAGAGGCGCCGCCAGGGAGGTCAGCGCGGATCCGAGAAATCCGCGCGGACCTCGGAGTTTGTTGTTTTGTCATTCTTAGTTCCCCTAGGTTTCTCTGCCGGCGCTGGGCACGCTGGACGCGTCTGGTGGCGGCGCCGACGGCGCCGCCCCAGACGCTCTTCTTTTCTCGCTCCGGGGATAGATGGTGCTGGGAGAGTGCCTGGCGCTGGTGGAGGAGCCATCCCCGCGAACGTCAGAAGTCTGCAGTGCTCCTATGATTAAGTCGGGCCTGTCCCTCTGCAGGAGGAGTATTCAGAAATAGCAGAAAAACTAATATGGGGATGATTTTTGGACTATTTTTGACTGCTGTTGAACATTGTTTGGCGATTTTTCCAGCATTCTTCCAAAATTCGCCTCTGGGAGGACATGCCCGACCTAATCCTATGATTCTCCGACGTCCAGTGCCCCTCGATCGCCCAGAGTTCCGATGACCCGTCGCGTGCAACTGCGTTCGGGTAGCAGTTCCGTGGGGGGTGCCACCGCACTGGCAGTCAAGAGGCGTATACGCCAAAGACCTCGTTGCCCAGGCATCTCATGCGCACGTTGTTCGTGACCGCTGTCTTGATGTAGTGGAACGCCCTGGCTAAGAGGCAACGCTGTAGCGCTCACCCATGCCACTCCATGTGGCTGGTGTAAGTCCATGTGGGTGCGACTCTGCCGATGTGGCGATCACAGCTATGCTGCACATGCTTTGCCTTGTTGCGTGCGTGCGTGCGTGCGTGCGTGCGTGCGTGCGTGCGTGTGTGTGTGTGTGTGTGTGTGTGTGCGTGTGTGTGTGTGTGTGTGTGTGTGTGTGTGTGTGTGTGTGTGTGTGTGTGTGTGTGTGTGTGTGTGTGTGTGTGTGTGTGTGGTGTGTGTGTGTGTGTGTGTGTGTGTGTGCGCGTGCGTGTGTGTGTGCGTGTGCGTGTGCGTGTGTGTGTGTTGTGTGTGTGTGTGTGTGTGTGGTGTGTGTGTGTGTGCGCGCGTAAAATGTGTGTGTGAGAATGGTGTGTGTGTGTGTGTGTGTGCATGTGCGTGTGCATGTGCGTGTGCATGTGCGTGTGTGCGTGTGTGTGTGTGTGCGTGCGTGCCTGCGTGTGTGTGTGTGTGTGTGTGTGTGTGTGTGTGTGTGTGTGTGTGTGTGTGTGTGTGTGTGTGTGTGTGTGTGTGTGTGTGTGTGTGTGTGTGTGTGTGTGTGTGTGTGTGTGTGTGTGTGTGTGTGTTTGTGTGTGTGTGTGTGTGTCAGTGTGTCAGTGTGTGTGTGTGTATGTAAAAAAGCGCTCCGCTGCTTGCACTCGACTTTCTACGCCCCGTCGCCGCGCGCGGGGCCGCGACGCCAAAACATGAGAGAGTGTGTGTATGCTAGCACTCCAACACTCCGTCCGTGGAGTCTTACTCGAGCTCAACGGTGTCAAGTTACTCATCTTCCTTCGTTATGGCAGGAGAAGCCCCGCTCAGCTCGGCTGCCGATCGAATCGCGTTGCTTATCCGTTCGCTCCTCCTTCTCCCCGTCGCCGTCGCCGTGACTGTCGCCGCCCGCGTCCCTGGTTCTACCCCCGTCTTCCTCTTGGCCCTCATGGGTCCTCGCGGCACCTCGTGCCTCGCGGCCTCCCTCGCCAACTTGGGAAAGTGACAGCCGTAGCCCCGAAGCCCTCGTGGTCCCTCGTGGTCCCTCGTGGTCCCTCGTGGTCCCTCGTGGTCCCTCGTGGTCCCTCGTGGTCCCTCGTGGTCCCTCGTGGTCCCTCGTGGCCACGGGTCTGCGAGCCTGATGGCCGCGGCCCTCGCGGCCAACGCGGCGTCTCGCGCCTCGCGGCCCCCATCATGGTCAGCAACTTGCAGGCCCGATGGCCGTGGCCCCCTTGTGTGCCCCGTGGCCCCGGTGGTGGTGGCCCCTCGTGCCTCGTGGCCCCGCACAGCGGCCGCCAAGCCGCGAGTCGGAGGAGGGCCGCGGCCCCGTGGCTCCCGTGGCCCGCCGCCGTCGTCGACACACCACCGGCCAGCGGTGCACCTGAGCTCCTACACGGCCGCCGTCGTCGTTATGCTGCTCACCAGCTCACAGCTGCTGCTGTCCCCGTGGCCTCGTGCCCGCTCGCGATCCCTCGTGTCCCGGTCTTCCGTGCTCGCCCCGCCGGGGTCACCGAGCGGGCTCGGCGGGGTCTCGCCCGGTGCCCGCTCGTGGTGACCAACCGCGAGCGCGCGCCTCGCGGGCGCACGCCCCTGGCGCTGGGAGCGTCAGGGTCTCGCTCGGTTGCTGGGGGGCCCCCCCGGCCTCTCGTGCGCCCTCGCCGTGGCTCGTGCCGACTGCTGGAGCCCTCGCCCCTCGGGGCTACTGGGGGCCCCTCGTCGTGGCTCTCGTTGGAATCTTCCATACAGCGGAAATCTGGCCCTGGGGGCCTCGGCGCCACTGCACACTTCACCACTCACCACGCCTCAACTTGTCCTCCACTTCCAGTGGGGGGGGGCGGGGAACATCGAAAAGACACAGATGCAGCCCATACCCCCCCCAACCCGAAATTCGGGTCGTCGGGTTGGGTTGGGGTGGTCTGGTAGGTAGTCAACACCAGTGTCGGGGAAACGTAAGACTCGAGTAAGCCGGATCTCGGGTTTGCCGATTGTTTTTTGACGAGCGTGTCCTGAATTTTGACGGTCCCGTTCTCGTGGGATGTCTGCAGCGGGAGCCCGCGTCAAATTTCAGATAGGGTTTCGTCATTTTTATGATGGCCCCCGTCAGGCCAACCCGAGTCCCCCGTACCCGAGTCTTACGTCTCCCCGACAGAGGCCACGGTTGTACATTAAATGCCCCCCCCCCTCCCAGAGCCTCCCCGGAGCCTGCCCGGAGCTCCCCTGGAACCTTCCCCCAAGCCCCCAGACCCACCGAAGAAGTTCTGGACGTCCCAGATGGCTTCCAGACTGCTCCAGGACTGTCCGATATGGCCTTAAGACAGCCCAAGAGACCCCCAAGGCGCCCCAAGAAGGTTCCAAGAGAACCCCCCCGAAGGCCCCGAGCGGCAAAAATCGTTCTGTGCGTCCCATGCGGCTCCAAGCGGCCCCCAAGAGCGCCCGAGGCCGCCGACGAGGCTCCCGAGAGGGCCCCAATGCGCCCAAGACGGCCCAAAAGCGTTTCAAGAGGGCCCCAAGAGGCCTAAAAGAGCCCCCCCAAGCGCCCCCCGAGCGGCCCTCCGATCGCCCTCGGCGCCAAGGTTGCACCCAGAGCATCCCGGCGGTCCCCAAGAGGTCCCCTGAGTCCCTTAAGAAGTCTCCAAGAAGCCTCCAAGAGGCCCCGAAGAGGCCCCCAATAGACGCCTAGGTAGACCTCACGAGTCCCCCGAGAGGCCCCCGTAAAGACTACAAGATACTTTTTGCATGCCTCGAAACAAAGACACCTCCATTCCAGAAGTAATACTACCACTCCCCCCTCCTCTCCTCCTCATCCCTCCTCCTCCTGCCTTATCCCCCTCTCACCCCCCCCCTACCTCCTCATCCTCCTCTCCTCCTCCTCCTCCCTCCTCCTCCTCCTCCTCCCCTCCTCTCCTCCTCCTCTTCCTCCTCCTCCTCTCCCTCCCCCTCCTCCTCCTCCTCTCCTCCTCCCCTCCTCCTCCTCTCCCCATCCTCTCCTCCTCCTCCTCCTCCTCTTCCTCCTCCTCCTCTTCCTCCTCCGCCTCCTCCTCCTCCATCTCTCTGGTACGTCCGCCTCCTCCCTCCGCAGTCCCTGTTCCCCACCCCCTCCTGCGTGTTCAGCTGCGGCCTTTTCCCGCCTGCCCCCACTACTCGTCCTGCCCCCTCCCCCCCCCCCTCTGCCTTGCCTCCCGGCACCGCCGTCTTCCATCCATCTGCCCGCCGCCCGATCCCAGGAGGCCCAAGGCCGCAGCACGCACGGGGCACCCGGAGGCTCCCGAAGTGGCGCCTCCTCTCCGGGGACATCCCCGGAGCCTCCCCCGAGCCCCCCCCCAGGAGGCTCCTCTGAGCTGTGCAGAAGTCCCAAGAGTAACCCAGCGCGTTCCTCTGCTCGCAGAGTGCCTACTCGCAAACGTCCGAGCATATATATATATATATATATATATATATATATGTATGTATGTATGTATGTATGTATGTCTTCCTCCGTGTAGTGGATGGTAAATCCCAAGCAGCGGATCCAGGCCATCTGCGAGTAGTTACTTTGCGACTTGTCTAAAGAGAGTCCACGACGGTCCCAGAAGCCCCCCCCAGCTGCCCCAGGAAGTCTCCAGCAGCACAGTGAGGCCCCAAGAGGTCGCCAGAGTGCCTACACAGGACCTCCAAGAGGGCCAAAACAGTCAAACGCCAGCAGGACTCCCCTTTTCTGAAATTTCCATTCGTTGCGAAAGTGTGGCTCCAAGATGGCCTCGGAGGCCCAACTGCTTTTGACGAGAATTGCACTATTGCCCAAGGTTGGTCAAGGACTATCGCAGGCACCAAGCCTCAATGCGACGTCCGACATCGACGCGGCTTCTAAAATTCTAAGCCAAGGACCCGATCATCGGGACACGGCCCCTCCTGACGCGCTATACGCTGGGCCCCATGGCAAGGAGAACTTGAGCGCGCGCGCGAAGCGTGCGCGAGGGTGCTAGACAATGATTCACACAGATGTTTCGGTTGCTAGACCCCTCGTGGCGCTTCGCCTCCAATTCTGAGTTTCGGCGCTTGACTCCTGGCCCCTCGCGGCCCTTGCCGTGAGTTTCGCCATCTGGTTCGCTTGCTGGAGTCTTGTGTGAGAGGTCCCTCGTGAGCTTCGGATCTTCAGAGCCTAGCTCGTATGCTGAGGTCCCCGCGGCCTTCGGCGACGTACGTTTCTCGGGCTTCCGCTTCCCGCAGCACCGGCTCGCGGCGGAGGCTTCCGGGGAGCGCCCGCCTGCCGCCGCGATGCGCACGGTGCTGGACGCCGCGGCGGAGGCGCTGCTGTGGCCCTTCGGGATCACGCGGAAGCGGCGGGGCCGGCCTGGCCTGCGGGACGAGCGCGGCGATGGGCCGGAGGAGGAGCTGATGGGCCAATTTTCCGCCACCACTGCCATGGGTAGGACGGGGGATAGAGGAGGATGAGGAGGTCCTCCTCCTCCTCCTCCTCCTCCTCTTTCTCCTCTTTCTCCTCCTCCTCCTCCTCCTCCTCCTCTTCCTTCTCCTCCTCCTCCTCCTCCTCCTCCTTCTCCTCCTCCTCTTCCTCCTCCCCCTCCTCCCTTTCCTACCTATGGTGGTGGTTGTGGTGGAAAACGGGCCCATCAGGAGCACGGGTGGGAGGTGGACTCCTGCCACCTGCTGGGCGCGCTGTCCGGCGCGCTGCTGGCCTGGTGGGCCCTCGGGAGGCTGAAGGCTCTGGGGCCCGCCTCCGCGGCCGGCGCCGGCGCCGGCGGCGCCGACGCGCAGGGCCCCCCCGCGCTCTCGCGCGTGCCCTTCTCGGACTTCCTGCGGCTGCTGCGCGTGGGCGCCGTCACCACGGTGACCTACCTGGCGGACAGGCCGCCCGCGGGCGCCCTGGTGTTCAAGCCGCTGCCCGCCTCTGCGGGCGCCGCGGCGCTCCCGGCGGCGCTGCCGCCCGCGGTCGGGGGGGCCGTGCCGGGCGGCGCGCCCCGTCTCTGCGAGACGCTGCTGCTGCCCGGCTGCCACCAGAGCCTTTTCGAAGAGCTGTTCGCCTGCAAGTCCCTCAAGCTCGAGTGCGCGGCCGTGGTCGACGCGGAGCCAGACATGAGCAAGCTCGCGCTGCTCGTCGACGTTGGGGGTCTCCTGGCCTCCGTCGCGGCGCTCGTGTACCTCTTTCGCAACAACGGCCAGGGCGGCAACCCTTTCTCGGGCACTCGTCTGGAGGACTCCGCTCCAGATGGTGAACGTACGCAGTCCACCGTGACCTTTGAGGACGTCGCTGGCATGGAGCGCACCAAGGAGGAGCTGCGCGAGGTGATATCCTTCCTGCGCAACCCAGGCAGCTTCTACGCGCTGGGCGCCAAGCCACCTCGAGGCGTCCTCCTGCACGGGCCCAGCGGCACCGGCAAGACCCTGCTCGCGCGCGCCGTCGCCGGCGAGTCGGGGGTGCCGTTCCTGTACGCGAGCTCGGCGTCCTTCGTGGAGATCTATGTGGGCCAGGGCGCAGCGCGGATCCGCCAGTTCTTCGAGCAGGCGCGAAGCAGCGCGCCCTGCATCATTTTCCTCGACGAGCTGGACGCCGTGGGCACGGCGCGCTCTGCGGCAGCGTCGGGCGGCAACCAGGAGTACGCCCAGACGTTGAACCAGCTCCTCCTCGAGCTGGATGGGATCGAGAGCCACTCCTCGTCGACGGGAGGCCCAGGCGCGGGCATCGTGGTGACGATTGCGGCCACGAACCGCTACGATTGCCTGGATGAGGCGCTGGTGAGGCCCGGGCGCTTGGACCGCATCGTGCTGGTGGGCCTCCCGAATTTGGCTGAGCGCGTCGCTACGCTCCATATCCACGCGCGACGGCTGGTGACGCAAGACCTCGACTTTGAGCAGATAGCGCGGCGCACGGATGGCTGCAGCGGTGCCGACCTGGCAAACGTGCTCAACGAGGCTGCCCTGCTCGCTGCGCGCCGTGGAGCTGACGCGGTCCGCATGCAGCACGTCAACGATGTGCTCGGCACTCCGAGGCAGCGTCAGCAGCGGAGTGCGGCCGACGCCGGGGCTGGCGATGGGGAGGCGGGGGCCGATGCTGCGGGTGAGCTGCTGGGCAGAATGCTCACGGCCCTGGCGGCGGCGTCGTCTGCGGGCCGCGCGTGGACGCCGCGCATGGACAGCAGCGGCCCGCACAGTTTTGCCGAAGAAGTTGAAGGCACGGATTGAGCCCGCCGGCAACGCGCAAGGGAGCGCCGCCCGCGCCGGTGGCTCCTGGGCCGTGCCTTGCGCGCTTCGCCCGAGTCTGAGGCCGGGAGCAGGACCCCCGTACAGAGGACGTCGCGCGGCCAGGCAGGGAGTCAACTCCAGAGGCGAGGCTGGCGCGGACGAGCCAGGAAAACAGTGTGCATACGTGCGCACATCTATCATATAACAAGCGGTCGGATCACCAGGACAATGGACCGTCAACTTCCCCCCCAAGCTAGCCCCAAGGAGCCCTCAGGGTGGCCCCAGAGGGCGCCGGTCCGAGGCTCGGGGATGGCGAGTAGCACATGCAACAACACCTCTTTTGACGCTGTTCGTCCTGGGGAGTATCTCATGCTGGGCTCGTCTTGAGGGCAGCCTTGACAGCGCCCTCAGGCTCGTAAGCGTCTCCAGGAGAGCCCCGATATGCCCCAAGAGGGACCCACGATACCCCGAAGGCTGCCCAACAGCGCTTCAAGATGTCCCCTCGAACGACCCCAAGAGGACCCCAGGAGTGCCCGAAGAGGCCCCAAGAGGGTCCCAATGTGGGCCAGCCTGTCAAGGGCCTTATCACCAGTCTTAGGTCGAGCATGTCCTCCTACAGGCGGATTTTGGAGGACACATGAAAATAGTCAAACAATGTTCAAATATAGCCAGAAATTCTAGAAGAAAACGTCTCCAGATTATTTTTGACTATTTTCGAATATTCATCCTCTAAAGGGACAGGCTCGACTTAACACCAGTCCCGCCCTTCTTCGTGACTGTTCCTCCCTCCCCGTTGGCCGCCCCCCGCCCCCCCTCCCTCCCAGAACGCGCCCGAGAAGGTGCCACACTGGCCAGAGTAGGAGTAGGAGTAGGAGTAGGAGCAGGAGTAGGAGTAGGAGTAGGAGTAGGAGTAGGAGTAGGAGTAGGAGTAGGAGTAGGAGTAGGAGTCAAGCTAGCCAGCTCGAGCGAGTCAAGCATGGCATGCCCAGTCCCACCCGCCCTCCCACAACATAAGAAGCAAAGCTGGCACAACTGGGGGCCGAAGTCACACCGGCCAGCCGGTTTGGTACAGCTGATGCGGCCGCGATGGCGGTTGCCGACGGGAACTGGCGAGCGCGTGTTGAATGCCGCGCACGCATTGCCAGACGAGTCGAGAATGGCCCGGTACACCGCAGGAAGCCAGAGGTGGCCGGAGGAAGCCCGACGGTCTGACAGGACACCCCAAAGCATTTTTGTGAAAAAGCATTGGGTTTTTGATGTTTTTATGTTGAAATGCTTGCAAACACACGGTGTTCGGTAGGATTCTGACATGAACGCGCGAGTGTGCTCTTTGTGGTATTTTTTGCACAGGATTCGCGGCCTGGGTGCATGACAGAGCATCGCGAGTGCACCGCGCGATGACGTGAAATCGCTGGATTTGACCGAATTCTTAAGATTCCTAT